CCCTGCTCCACAAGATGCTGGTGCGGTGGTACATGTGTCTGGCCATCACCCGAGGCGATGGGGAGGACTGGAGCAACGTCCGCAACCAGGGAAAGCTCCTGGTCATGCTCGAAGTAGGCTCAATTGGATGGATAGATGGATAGATGGATGGGGTCTCTCTCTGTCTGTGTCTTCAGAATGCACTACAGCCGTTTTATCGCGCAGAGTGGTGGGTGTTGTACTGCTTCTTCATCGCCTGCATGGCGACCATTACTCTCCACGAGCACATGATTGAGATGGGCGAGGGCGAGGGCCAAGAGCACGAGATCGAGCGCAACGGCGAGGAGTTCATTTCTGAAAAGATGGCCGAGCACTACGCGGGGTCAGTACGGAATGAAGTCGACACACCACACACACATTCACCACGCACACGTCTCTCTCTCTCTCTCTCCCTCCCTCTCTCTCTCTCTCTCTCTGTGTGTGTGTGTGCGTCGTTGTCAGGACTGAGCTCGACAACTTGGGCCTCCTCACTTTGGCCTTTCTGGTCTTCAAGTGCCAGTCGTTGGCTGTGCTGGGGCTGGTGGCCGTGCACCTCATTAGCCACGCCGTTGTCGACGGCATCTGGAGCGATGAAGTCTTCATCCAGTTCTACCCCGGTGAGCAGCTGCACTGCGTGGGGGCTGTGTGACAGTCTCAATCGGACGGCTCCCTCTCTCTCTGTATGTGTCCTTGGCGTGTGTTTAGTGGTGGGTCTGCTGTTGCTGGTCGCCAGCCGCCACTTCGAGCTGTTCTACAGATCCACGGTCTTCAACACTAACCGGGTCAGACGACTAGGTAGAAGCCAAATGCCCGCCCGCACACACACGTGTCTGTATGGGTGTTGCGTGTGTGCAGGTTGCCCGCGAGAAGGGCCAGCGCCGCCGACTGCTCGAGAACTTCGCCTTCATGGTCGACATCGCCGCCTGGTACGCAGCCAATCAACCCATTATATATGCCCCTTGTTGTCTATGCCCATCCGTGTGTGTGCCCTGCAGGGAGTGGGACGCCTCGGGCCCCATGGAGACCCATTTCTACCAGACCCGCGTCATCGAGGGCCTCACGGGCCGCGCATCCAGACAGCCCACCGGCAGGGTCCCCTACGCGCGCCTTCTCGACGGCCCCGTCGCCCCCGCCCTCGCACCCAGCGAGGCATCAGCCCCTGCTAGCGTCAATGTCGGCCTTTCTGTCGGCGCGCTGCACATCTACCGCGCCCACGCGTCAAAGCCGCCCATCCACCCTGCTGCACCGTCATCCTACGCCACACCGGCGACGCGCACGCCGACCACCAAGGCGGGCTCGTCCATGGTGGCGACGGTCACGTCGGATCAGCCGACGCCGCCGCGGCCGAGCCCGGCGCCGCTGCAGCCGAAAGGGATAGTCGATGATGGAAAGGTGGATAGCGAGATGGGCGGCGGGTCGGCGAAGAGTGCGGGGTCGAAGGAGAAGCGCTCGGTGCGGTCTGCCGGGGGAGGGGGGGATCACCATGGCGGCGAGAACGCGACGGACGATTCCACACTGGAGGGGATCGTTCTGCCGATGGACTTCGAGTGCGTGAGCCCACATATAGAGGGAGCGAGCGAGCGAGCGAGCGAGCGAGGCGCGAGTGGCTGGATGTCCATGTCGTGTGTGTGGTTGTCAGCCTGCCTATCGGTGCTGGTGGCGACGACAAGAATGCCGGCGACATAGTCCTGACGGACGAGCGGCTGCGGGGCTTCTGGACGCAGCACGTGCACCCCAACGACCGCGGCAGAATCGAAAGGGCGATCGTCAAGTGCGTCGACCAGGGGGAGCCCTACGACATGAATGTACGCGACCGAACAGAGAAGGGCAGGAGCAACGACGAGTGTGTGGGTGGGTGTGGCTGTGGCTGTGCCTGTGTCAGATCCGCTACGAAAGGTCTGACGGCGAGATTCGGTTCTTCCAAGCGGGAGGCAGACGGGCCTCGCCCACGTCGACCATCATATACGGCTACATCCAGGTGCGGTGCGCAGCCGATGCGATGACCCCACCTAGAGAGAGGGAGAGAGAGAGAGAAGGTCATCGGTCATTACCTATGCGATGAAGAACCGTCTCGTGTATGCGATTTGTGAATTCTCCTCCACCCTCTGTTTGACGACACTTGGTGTTTTTGCAGGATGTGACGGAGCGAAAGAGAGAGAAGGCGTCCCTGGAGCACCGAGTTGGCATCCTCTCCCGAGTGCTGGAGGCCACCGTCGACGCCACAATCGTCGCCGACACACAGGAGGACATGATCGTCGAAAGTTCCACGTTGCTCAACAGCTGGACCGCACGGACGCTGGAAGGTGCGCTGACTGATGAGCACACAGAGAGAGACAGACGTAGAGACAAAGCGTGTGTGTGTGTGTGCAGGTATGCCGCTGTCCACCTTACTCAACGCATGGGCGATCGGCCACATCAAGAGCGACGCGGCTTTCAGACACCCACCGCAGCCCGTGACCGTCATCCTGCAGAACCCCACAAGACCAGAACAGCTTGTCCGGGTAAGCCACTGCATCCATTCAGCCATCCATCCAGCCACCTCTGTGTGTGTGTGTGTGTGTGTGTCACTTCCATCAGGGAGAGCTCACGGCCTTCGCGGACGCAGACGATCCCGCTCTGGTGTTTGTCGCCTTCAACCACCTGCACTCAGTGGACCCCCCACACCTCCCCCTCAGACACACCGCCACCTACTGCGCACTCGAGCCCATCCCGGGCATGTCGTGTGGGCCGATCCCTGTCATCCCACAGCCAGTGAGAGGGGGTCCTGGGGGTATTGGTGAGGGGCAGGGGTCGCCGGGGATGATGACGAGCATTGCCAATCTCTTCCGGTGGCTGGCTTCGTGACGTGATTGAGTGGGGGAAGGGGAGGGGTGGAGGGTTGTTTGGTATTCGGTATTATGGCAGGTTTTGTACTTTTCTGTCTGTCTGTCTGTCTGTGTGGCTATGTGTTCTGTGTGTGGCTGGCTGTGAGTGTCTCGAGCGGCCAGCCGGCGCCAGTTGCTTACATTCTTTATGGATGGATGGCACGCAGTGCTGATCTGGTGTGGTACATGGTGTGTGGGTGGTGGGCTGTGTTGGTGAGTTGGTGTTTGGTGCTTGGTGTCTCCAGCTAGCTTTATGATCGATCAATCGATGATAGTACGAGCCTACACACACATTCATACACTAGACTTGACATGAGGACACAAACACATAGACATCTATCGCAGTTATGCTGTGTCGACACACATATATTCGTGAACACACATACATACATACATGCATACATCCGTAACCTCTGCTAAGCGAGGCGGCATTTTGAACGACAGGAGAGGCTGGGCGTGTGAGGGGGGTTGGACTGCCTGTCCGTCTGTCTGCTTGCCTGATTGATGTGCTGATTGGGGGCACACAGACGGACGGACGGACGGACGGACAGACAGACTGACAGGCAGTGCACCAGACATATAGATATACGTACATCCGTACGCCGTTGTGCACCGTTGACTAAGTGGCGGAAGGAGGCAGGGCAGACGAGAGCTGTGTTACTGAGTGAGTGAGCCAATGGCTGACGATTTATATAGACACTCCCCAGCCCCCCGGCCCTCCACGCAGCACACGCAGCAGCTGTTTTGACTTTCGTGTGTGTGCATGATACATCCATACGTTCGTTGTCCGCGGCCTCCTGGATGGATGGATGGATGAGTTGGTGTGTGGTGTTTATTCGGACCTGTGAAGGTTCCCTCATGTTGTTGTCCATATATGGTGTTGTTGTCCATATAAATATGATATGCATATATGTCTTATCCATGTATTCATGTGTGTGTATGTCCGTGTGTGTGTGAGGGGTAAAGAAGTGTGTGTAAAGAAGTGTATGTATGTGTGTGTGCGAGACCTCTGCCGGCCTTTTCTGTGTGTTGGTGAGTGTATCTGCGGGTTCCCACCGTGAATCTGCTAGTTCCCACCCCTCTCTCTGTCCATCCGCCTATCCGCCGATGCGTGTATTGTGTCAGAATTTGTGTATGTACGTGTCCTCTGTTGAGCTGGTTTTGCCTCCCTTCATCTTTCTGAGCGTTTCGAGAGACGAGCGGCCGATGAATGCCAGCGGCTACTGCTGGCATAGGCCGCATCCATCCGTACACATCCATACACAAAGTGACACACGCTCATCCCTCCCGCCCTTCCTTGTCCTCTCTCGTGTGCGAGTGTGTGTGTATGTGTCGATTCGTCTGCTGACTTGACCACTGCCGCGCTATTGCGCCGCACCCTAAACAACGCGGACAACTCCGTGACCTCGTGCTCGATCCTGTTCCTGAGGTCACATGAAATGGCGATGCCCCCCGCACTCGGATGAGGTGTGTCGGCAAATCATCTTTTGGGACTCGCGCACGCAACTATCACAACCTCAAAGACCTGAAGTACCGCTGATTGCGCTCGATCATATACATACAATTCGCAATCTTCTCGAACGCACTTTTTCTCGGTCAAAGACGGACTTTGGTGATTGTTTGCCTTCATGGAGACCTGGAGTGAGTCAATCATCAGCCAATCACCATATTTGCACTAAATAAAGTCAATGAATGACCACTTTCATGTCACTGCTTCCCTACTCATTCATTCAAATCTCTTTGACTCACTTTCATATGTATCACACCATGAAAACAGCCCATATAGACTTTGTACAGGCAACGTATGGACGGGCTCTCTTCCCGGCGTTTACATATAAAAGTGAGTCAAAGAGATTTGAATGAATGAGTAGGGAAGCTGATATGAAACTGGTCATTCATTGACTCACTCATTGCAAATATGGTGTTTGACTGATGATTGATCACTCAAGGTGAGTGAATCTCCATGAAGACAAACAATCTTCAACATCCGTTCTTCACCGAGAAAACGTCCGTTCGAGAAGATTGCGAATTATATGGACCTCGTACACAACTGCATTAGCCATATCACCCATGCCAGCCACATATGCTTCCTCTTCTGTCCAGCTACCTGCCCCCTGGCTGACTTCCCGCCAGGCTGGAGATCGATGACGGGCTCAACTCACTTATAAGGCCGCAGCAATTCTCTGATTTGCCCACGCGTGATCTCCTCGTATCTCTCTCTTGAGATCATCCCAAAGTCCTGAAGTCCTTCACCTCACGCATCAAAGCGTGCTGTGCGTGGACACAGATACGTCGAAACACCACATGCAATGAGTGCATCTGCTCAAATAGCATCTGCTCACCTCCATACTTAGACATTAGATGCCTACCGTCGCGAACGAGTGATGCACAGTCGTCGAGCACATGGGGAGGTGGTCTGTCGTCGTGCCGCCAAGTTGAAGCCGGTCGGAACTGTGTGGTAGGCGTTCTGGTCCGCCTGCTCTGTCGAAACTCGTCGCCATCGTCTCCAGACACCTCAGGTGCGCCCTCTCGGCGCTCAAAAGGGAAAAGCCATGACGATCAGCCCTCACAAAAGCTCGCAAGGAAGAAAGGCTCCGGCGAGGGAGGGAGATCCGGGCAGGCGGCGACGATAAGGCCAAACAACAGCACCAGAAGGTCGAGAAGAGCGACCCGCTGACCCAGATGCAGCTGCACAGCGAGCATGGCGCCGGGATGTCTAACAGCGCCAATGCCAACATCAACGTGGCCATCGAGATGCTCGTGCCGGCCAGCATCTTCGCCTACTGCGGCAAGTTCGTCAAGAGCTTCAAGAGCAAATGGGGGTCAATCGGATGCGTCAATCGGGTCAGAGGGAGGGAGGGAGGGAGGGAGAATGGAATGATGCGTTTTCATCGTGTGTGTCGTGTGCAGTGGTCGGGTCTGCCGTTCATCTGCATGAAATTCAAAGATCCCGAGCTGGAGTTCCAGTACCAGAGGCTCTGCAAGGAAGACACTCAGGTCAGTCAGCTGGCCTGTCAGCACATCGACACGCGTACCGGCAATGCATCTGTCTGTCTGCCTGCAGGAGACCCTCAAGACCGCCGGTGTGATATTCTCCGTTGCCTGGATCGCGTACGCCGTTGTGCTGTGGTTCGAGACCAGGGCGCATGGGATGGGCGATGTCTGGTGGCGGCGGATGACGGTGCCGCTCATCGTGGCCGTGGCCATTATCACATATGCCCTGCTCCACAAGATGCTGGTGCGGTGGTACATGTGTCTGGCCATCACCCGAGGCGATGGGGAGGACTGGAGCAACGTCCGCAACCAGGGGAAACTCCTCGTCATGCTCGAAGTAGGCTCAATTGGATGGATAGATGGATAGATGGATGGGGTCTCTGTCTGTGTCTCCAGAATGCACTGCAGCCTTTTTATCGCGCTGAGTGGTGGGTGTTGTACTTTTTCTTCATCGCCTGCATGGCGACCGTAACTATGCACAAGGAATTGATCGATGGTGCCGAGTTGGTCGGAGAGCACGAGATCGACGAAGACGACTTCGCGGAGTTTGGCGAGGAGTTTGGCGAGGAGTTTGGCGGGGAGGAGTTCATTTCTGAGAAGATGGCCGAGCACTATTCCGGGTACCCAAGCCGACACACACATTCATCACACTCACACAGCCACGTCCCTCTCTCTCTCTCTCTCTGTGTGTGTGTGTGTGTGTGTGCGTCGTTGTCAGGACTGACCTTGACAACTTGGGCCTCCTCACTTTGGCCTTTCTGGTCTTCAAGTGCCAGTCGTTGGCAGTGCTGGGGCTGGTGGCCGTGCACCTCATCAGCAAGGCCGTTGTCGACGGCATCTTTTCAGATGAGGTCTTCATCCAGCTCTACCCCGGTGAGCAGCTGCACTGCTTGGGGGCTGTGTGACAGTCTCAATCGGACGGCTCTCTCTCTCTCTGTATGTGTCCTTGGCGTGTGTTTAGTGGTGGGTCTGCTGTTGCTGGTCGCCAGCCGCCACTTCGAGTTGTTCTACAGATCCACGGTCTTCAACACCAATCGGGTCAGACGATTAGATAGAAGGCAAATGCCCGCCCGCACACACACGTGTCTGTATGGGTGTTGCGTGTGTGCAGGTTGCCCGCGAGAAGGGCCAGCGCCGCCGACTGCTCGAGAGCTTCGCCTTCATGGTCGACATCGCCGCCTGGTACGCAGCCAATCACCCCATTATATATGCCCCTTGTTGTCTACGCCTATCCGTGTGTGTGTGCCCTGCAGGGAGTGGGACGCCTCGGGCCCCATGGAGACCCATTTCTACCAGACCCGCGTCATCGAGGGCCTCACGGGCCGCTCATCCAGACAGCCCACCGGCAGAGTGCCCTACGCGCGCCTTCTCGACGGCCCCGTCGCCCCCGCCCTCGCACCCAGCGAGGCATCAGCCCCTGCTAGCGTCAATGTCGGCCTTTCTGTCGGCGCACTGCACACCTACCGCGCACATGCAGTGCACACGTTAAAGCCGCCCATCCACCCTGCTGCATCGTCATCCCTTTCGGCGACACCGGCGACGCGCACCCCGACGACCAGGGCGGGCTCGTTGATGATGGCGACGGTCACGTCGGATCAGCCGACGCCGCCGCGGCCGAGCCCCGCCCCGCTACAGCCGAAAGGGATGGTCGACGATGGGAAGGTGGATAGCGAGATGGGCGGCGGGTCGGCGAAGAGTGCTGGGTCAAAGGAGAAGCGCTCGGCGCGGTCTGCTGGTGGAAGGGGGGATCACCATGGCGGCGAGAACGCGACGGACGATTCCACACTGGGCGAGATCGTTCTGCCGATGGACTTTGAGTAAGTGAGCCCACATATAGAGGGAGCGAGCGAGCGAGCGAGCGAGCGAGCGAGGCGCGAGTGGCTGGATGTCCTTGTGGTGTGTATGGTTGTCAGCCTGCCTATCGGTCCTGGTGGCGACGACAAGAATGCCGGCGACATAGCCCTGACCGACGAGCGGCTGCGGGGCTTCTGGACGCAGCACGTGCACCCCAACGACCGCGGCAGGATCGAGCGGGCGATCGTCAAGTGCGTCGACCAGGGGGAGCCCTACGACATGAACGTACGCAAGGACGAGTGTGTGGACGGGTGGACGTGTCGGTGTGGTTGTGTCAGATCCGCTACGAGAGGTCTGACGGCGAGATTCGCTTCTTCCAAGCGGGAGGCAGACGGGCCTCGCCCACGTCGACCATCATATACGGCTACATCCAGGTGCGGTGCGCAGCCGATGCGATGACCCCACCTAGAGAGAGGGAGAGAGAGAGAGAAGGTCATCGGTCATTACCTATGCGATAAAGAACCGTCTCGTGTATGCGATTTGTGAATTCTCCTCCACCCTCTGTTTGACGACACTTGGTGTTTTTGCAGGACGTGACGGAGCGCAAGCGCGAGAAGGCGTCCCTGGAGCACCGAGTGGGCATCCTCTCCCGAGTGCTGGAGGCCACCGTCGACGCCACAATCGTCGCCGACACACAGGAAGACATGATCGTCGAAAGTTCCACTCTCCTCAACAGCTGGACCGCACGGACGCTGGAAGGTGCGCTGACTGATGAGCACACAGAGAGAGACAGACGTAAAGACAAAGCGTGTGTGTGTGTGTGCAGGTATGCCGCTGTCCACCTTACTCAACGCATGGGCGATTGGCCACATCAAGAGCGACGCGGCTTTCAGACACCCACCGCAGCCCGTGACGGTCATCCTCCAGAACCCCACAAGACCAGAGCAGCTTGTCCGGGTAAGCCACTGCATCCACTCAGCCACCCATCCAGCCACCTCTGTGTGTGTGTGTGTGTGTCACTTCCATCAGGGAGAGCTCACTTCCTTCGCCGACGCAGACGATCCCGCTCTGGTGTTTGTCGCCTTCAACCACCTGCACTCAGTGGACCCCCCACACCTCCCCCTCAGACACACCGCCGCCTACCGCGCACTCGAGCCCATCCCGGGCATGTCGGGTGGGCCGATCCCTGTCGTCCCACAGCCAGTGAGGGGGGCTCCCGGGGGTGTTGGTGGCGGGCAGGGGTCGCCGGGGATGATGACGAGCATTGCCAATTTCTTCCGGTGGATGGCTTCGTGACGTGATTGAGAGGAGATGGAGGGAGAGCGAGAGCGAGAGAGGGGATGGGTTTGGATGTTTGGTACTTCGGCGTTGGTGGCAGGTTTTGTACTTGTCTGTCTGCCTGTCTGTCTGCCTGTCTGCCTGCCTGTCTGTCTGCCTGTCTGTCTGCCTCTCTGTGTTGTGTGTGTGGCTGGCTCGTGGGTGATGCGGCCAGCCGGCGCCAGTTGCTTTTGTTCTTTCCTTTATGGATGGATGGATGGCAGTGCTGATCTGGTCTGGTACATGGTGTGTGGCTGTTGGTGAGTTGGTGTTTGGTGTCTCTAGCTAGCTTTACGATCGATCGATCAATGATAGTAGGCGCATACACACACATTCACACACTAGACCTGACACGGGGAAACAAACACACAGACGTCTATCGCAGTTATGCTGTTCGTAGACACACAGGCGTACGACCGCGCTCTCTGCTAAGCGAGGCGGCATTTTGAACGGGGAGGGGGGAGGGTGGGTGGACTGCCTGTCCGTCTGTCTGCTTGCCTGATTGATGTGCTGATTGGGGGCACACAGACGGACTGACTGACAGACAGACAGACAGGCAGTGCACCAGATTCACACGCATTACTTAAGCCGTTGTGCACCGTTTAATAAGTAGCTGAAGGAGGCAGGGCAGACGAGAGCTGTGTTACTCAGTGAGTGACTGAGTGAGTGACTGAGTGATTGAGTCAGAGTCAGTGGCTGATGATTTATGCAGTCCCCAGCCCCCCTTGCCACGCCATGCAGCAGCACTTGTGACTTTTGTGCCTGCGTGTTTCTGGATGGATGGATGGAGGAGTGAGTGAGTGAGTGACTGAGTGAGTGAGTTGGTGTTGGGTGTGTATTCCGGAGTTGTGGGGCTTTCTGTCTCTGTCTGTCTGTCTGTCTGCCTCCTTTTCCCTTCGTGGCGTTCTCCTTATAGGTATGTCTGGATGTGTGTATGTCTGTGTGTGTGTGTGTGCGAGATCTCTGCCCGCCTTTTCTGCCGGTGAGTGTGTCTGCTAGTTCCTATCTCTCTGTCTCTCCATCCACCCACCGATGCGCGTGTGTACGTATGTACGTGTCCTCTGTTCAGCTGGTTTTGCCTCCCTCCCTCCCTCTTTCCCTCCGTCCCTCCCTCCCTCCCCTCGACAGCCGAGTCGACTGACTATGTCTGTATCTGCCGGCCTCCGTGCCATGGTACCTTCATCCATCCCATCTGTCTGTCTACCCCTCTCCCGTCGCCGGGTCCCCAGCGCCCGCTAGTCATTTCTGCCGCAAGACACACACACAGTCTACACTGACTGTCTTGTCTTGCTCGTCTCTTAATACCTGATGGTGCTCTTGTGACTTTTGACAATGTGTTGTGGGCGGTTGGGTGAGTGCGTGTTTGGGGTGTCGGTTGCCCCCGTTGTCAACTTTGTTAGTGTCAGTGAACTTTGTTAGTGTCAGTTTAACCACCACTCTGTCTGTCTGTCTGCCTGTCTGTCTGTCTAGGCTGCATGACGTGACTGGCACGGACCACCGAACGCTAAGGCTAAGACCACTCTGTCCTTCTGCCTGCAGTGCGTCGGGTGTGGGCGCGCTGCTGGAATCGGGCACGGCCACCATGTGTCGCGAATCCTGGCCATATTTGCGAGCTTCCCAGCTCGCGGGAGGGAAGCGGACTTCCTCGTTCCTTTCTTCCCGCCATAGATCAGCGATGTCGGCAGCCTCCGCCGCAGCGTCTGGCAGCTCCAAAAAGCGCAAAGACAACGACGGCAGGGCAGCTGATGACGAGGCCGTCCTCCCATCTCGTCTTCACGGTGTCACCACTGGTCTGGAGGAGGGAGATCTGCTGGTCAAGGCCGCGGCTACCTCTGTGGACACCTTCAGCCAGATCACCAGGACGGCCAAACAGCTGGCGGAGAAGGAAATCGAGGCGCTAAGTTCGGAGATCAAGCAGCTCATCACAGCCAATGGAGGCACCATCGAGCCGCGGCGGAAGGACGGCCGCATTCGGCTCAATGTGGGCGGCACTGTTATGTCCATTCCCGTGTCGGCACTTCTGCATCGCAAGATGAAGACGACGTACCTCTCGACGCTACTGCTGCACTTCACCGACCAGCTGCCCAAGGACGCCAATCAGCTGCCCTTCCTCGAGATGCACCCGGCTTACTTCAAATGGCTGCGAGACCGGCTGGCACTCCTCGAGAGCCCCCATTTGGATGAGATCACCATCCACTCACCGGAGGCCGACGATCCGTCTTATGCCGAGCACCACTCGCTGTTCATCGAGCAGAAGGTGGGCGGCGAGATCGAGATCGAGGAGCAGCCACAGGCCTTGGCCTCATCGGCTGCAGCAGCGGCCTCGGCAGCGGCAGGTGGAGGGGGAGCCGGGCAGGGCGATGTGGAGATGGCCGATGGCAATGGCAAGAAGGACGACGGCGGCGACCAGGGGGCAGGGGGTGATGGGGGTGGGATGGGTGTCGAGGAGGCCTTTCGGCAGATCGACGAGTGCATGAGCAGCTATCGTCGTGTGCTGGAGGCGCTGCGGGCCAAGAAGCGCCGCATGGAGGGCTTCCTGACGGCGATGCGCCCGTTCGTCAAGGGCGACAGCAGCGATGAAGACATCGAGCTGATGACACTGAGCGTGTCTGATGAGGATGTGTCGGTCCTCCGCCGCACCATCGCGCCCCTCGGGCCAGCTCACGCACTCGTCAAGCGTTTCGATCCGTACGAAAGAAGACCCCCGACACACACAGCATCGATGTGTGTCTACGTGTGTGGTGTTTTGTTCTTCAGGACTCAGTGGCCCGACCAGGAGGCCCACCAAACATCCTTCAGGTTTCTGCAACTCATCGTCGACTTTGCTCGCCGTTTGGCCGTCATGCCGGCTGGCCGGTTCGTCCATCCGCCGGTGGTGGCGCCGGCCGAGAAGGCCATCTTCGCTGTCGAGTTGGGAATGTACGGCCTCAGTTCGATCCCGCCGGTGCCGGCGGACAGCACGATCATCAAGACGGCCGACGAGTGGCTGGCGGTGATGAAGATGGCCGACAAGAGGATCGCCGTGGCGCCGTCACTGCTTTACAAGTGAGCTCAGACAGACATGCCGGGCACACAGACATCGTTGTTGTGCGCTGATATCAGGTCGAGTCGTGACACGTTTACGTATGCCTCCTTCCTCAACAAGGTGACCGGCAAGAGCGGTCTGCTCTTCGCCCTCCGAGACGGCGACACACACCGATTCGGCTGCTTCATCGACGGTCCTCTCACACCGCCAGACGATCCCAGACGGACCAACTGGTACAAGGTGCCCGTCTTCTTCTTCTCGCTGTCGGGTGCGTACGAGACGCCGACCAAGATCGAGCTGCCGGAGGACAGGCAGAAGGTTGAGGTGGCCGGCACACAGGGAGCGGTGAGGAGCATTGAGGGCCGGATGATCGCCAACGTGTGCATCGGTCGCAGTCCTCCTGGAGTCCTGTGTCTGGGGTTTGGTCGGCGTGGTCCGGTGGCCGACCTCAGCAGCTGCAATCAGTGGATGAATATTAATGAAGACCTGTCAGGGGGATACACTGGCGAGAGGGATGAAGACGGCGATGGCACATTGGCGCAGACCATCGACTTCACGTGCACTGAGATGGAGGTGTGGCAGGTGAGTGAGTGAGGGCGCGACAAGGTGGCAAGCATATGGGTGGCTGGCCGTGGCCAACACTGCTCTGTGTGTCTGACTGTGTGCAGGTGCTGAGCGGCTGAACGGAGGTGACGGCACAACATAGGCAGCGACAGGGAAGGTGAGATGACAAGGCAGCAGACAACAGGATCAGCATCTGTGATGTGCAGGTAGCTCATGCGTGGACGTAGAGGAGGATTGGCACTCATGGTTGATGGCTGCCGGCAGCAAGCTAGCTTCATAGCGACTCGCTCAGACTTGATGGCCTGATGGATGGACAATTCATTCGGGTGTCCATGTGCATACGCGATGATATGCGTGTCAACCTTTATTCGTTCTCATCACACTGCTGCGCACGTCCATCCATCCATCCATCCGTCCGTCTGTCTGTCTGTCTGTCTGCGCGTGTCGTGCACTCTTCGTGTGTGCACGCAGCCGATGGCGACCTGACCCATGGCGTCTTTGCACGAGACCCCATGGATGTCGTCGCACCGACACCCATGCACCCATCAATCGACATATCCACAAATCGACTCGCACAACATGCAGCACCCAACTCATTCATTCTGCTTGTTGACTTCTGGCCCGCCCACAAGCGATCCAACATAATTATGCTGAGTACGTCTTAGTGACATCACTCCCATTCATCCGCTTATTCACTTCTTGCGTCTCCTGGCTTTGCCGCCGGTCTTCATCCTCAGCTGGTTCTTGATGTGTTTGCGGAGGCCGGCCATGAGTGCCCGCTTGTTGCGCATCATCATGATGGGCTTGTTGCGGCTCTTGACCGCATTCGGCATCGACACAACCGCAGCTGATGCAGCACCAGCACCCTTGTTCTTGCCTGCATCGGTGCACACGCATCGATAAATAAGGAGGGATGGCTCTCTGTTTCTCTCTCTCTCTCTCTCTGTGGTGTGTGTGTGCCTTTGTTCTTCTTGTCAACGCGACCCCTGAGCACACTCGCGAGCTTCTCTGCTCGAGTCCGCTTCTTCTTGCTCACGCCACGCAGGTCGTCGGGATTTACTCGATCAGTGTCGGCCTGCACCACCACATCACACACACACACACACACACACAACACGCCCATTCATGTGTAGGTGTACCGGCACCACCTCACCGAGTGCACGTCACC